AATCAAAGATACAACTTTTATGCTGTGGACTGCTGTTATAGACCTCTGACCATTTCAGTTTCATCTTGCTATGAGATCCAAAGCTCAGTCTTCCTCTGGAGAATGTTTTACCTCCTGATTTTTCTAAGCATTACCTTGAAGGTTGCAGTGCTGTTATTCACAACAAATGTTGGAGCCTGAAGGGTAGCTTAGAGGTTTTGAAACCTGTTATGTGGGGACTCGAGGTTGTGAGTACAATGACTTCTGAATCTGAGTCCTCTTAGGAATTTCTAAGTCCTTTTAGGAGATTCCTAAGTCCTCTTAGGAATTGCCAGCACTGACGGAGCCAGATGCTCTTTCTCAATGGGATTTGCTCATCCTTCTGATAAATGTGGTCATCCTGTGAGAATGCAACCTGAGAACTTAGGAGATGGATAACTGGAATGGGAGAAAAAGGAGCAATGGGAGACAGTGGATGGAAGAAATAGCTGAGTCCAGCATTCTGAGAAGTGCTAGATATCTTTAAGACACTTACTGATGATAGAAGGTAGGGACAGACTTTTCCAATGGAGGAATAAGACAATATTCAAAGCATTTCCATTGGCCGAGGACTGTAGGAGAAACAAAACAGGTGGCACACTTAATGCAGCATCTGATTTGACAAAGCTAGCATTTGGTTGTAGAGGCTGTTCCTTGCTGAAGACTATYCCTGAGCTTTGTTGCTCCTTCACTACACTGTTCTAGTACCACTTGAGTGTAGCCCTCAGTAAACATTTGCAGACAGCTTTCAATTCATTCAGCATCCAGCTTTTTGTTGGCTCAGTAATTAAAAAAAAAAGTACTGTTTTTCTTTTCTAGCTCTAATTGTTCCCTACCTCACAATACACTGACTGTTAAAATATATTTTATTCCCTTYAGCTATTAGCATTGCAAAACAGTTCTAATTGAGTAAATCTTATCTCACATGCTTTGCTTACTCCAKTTGTTCCCCTGCTCCAGTGTCTGTTCCTCAAATTAAGCTGTGCACCTGGTGTGGCAGAGGATTTCCACTTCCTCCTGCTGGATTATGGAGCAGGAGGAATCTCTGGAGACTTAAAAAACCTTTTTCATAGTGTATTTTATTTATTTATGTATTTAATTTAAAGCTTTTATCTTCCAAAACCAGACTTCTCTGCTTGTTTGTTCRGTTGGGTGTTAATTGCTGTATAGTTGTTTGTACATTTGGTGAGAACAATTGTGTACTTTGCATATTTAATTGGCCTGAAGTAAAAATTCATGTTCCTTAATTAATGGCAACAAACAATTYCTCTCTTATTCTGGAAATACACACCTTTTTTTTTTCCATTTTAGACTATAAATTATATTGTTTGTKTAGTAGCCATCACAAGATTCAGGGATAGTGACTGAGCTTCTTCTCCAGTTCCAACTTCAACATTTAACAGTCATATCTGAAATACTTTAATGTATATTTTTAAACCTATATTGTACTTAATAGGAATATTATTTATCTGGTAATAATTATTAATGATTATTTATTATATCGTAATTACCACRCTGTGTTACCATGTGCAATGTTATACAGTCATGGGAATGCAAGTGTTAAGAAAATATCAATAGATAAAAAGAGTGCATTAAGTAACTCTTGCAGTCAGATTGATATCCACACCCCTCTGAAAAAGTCTGTTATTTCTGTGAGTCATGGATTTTTCCTGCAAAAGCTCTTTCTCAGTGTGACATCATCGTTCAAATGTAGAGGAATTCTGGTTTTTGTTTTACTTGTGTGAACCTGTCCGTTACAAATGTTAGACACATTTCCCCAGAATTCCCAGAATYAGCCCATGGTACATTTGAAAGCTAGATTTGATATTGTATTGGCCACTTTCCACTATTTTTGTACTGGGGCCTATTTAAGGGATATAGTGCATGCTGAAGGATGAGGACATTATATATTGGAATTCTTTTAAGGGAACTCTAGTGAAAATAATTACTTCATGGCAGCTTGYTTGAAAAACTCCTGTTACTGATACTTCAGTTTAAACATGATTTCTAAAGTTTATTCTGTTTTTTTTTTCTTTTTTCTTTCTTTCAAAAAGCATTAATGAATGGAATGCAAATAATTAATTTATTATTCAAACTTCACAATTCAATAACCACTTGAGCATCTTTCCTTTTTCTACCAGAAAGCTTTTTGCTTCTGAAAAGTTTAGAAATAGCTTTATTAATTACTGTAAGATCCTCCTACAAATCATTTTTTGCATTAATACAATTAACTTTCTGTTGTTATGCTGTGTTTTTAAGTCASTTCTATTTAAATTGGGTTTTGATTTCTGAAGGATGTCCTTACCTCTAATAACATATTTAATCTTCTGAATAATCGTGTTTGGCTTGTACCCCTTGGATTCATCTTGATTCCTAGTATGCATTTGCTGTTAGTCTCTAGCATGACTTCACATTACTCTTCATACTATCCATAATTATTTCATTCTTTTATCTGCTTCTTTTTCTTTGATGGACTACTTCTATTTTTTGTTCTCTGTATTCTAAAGCTAAAAATTACTGTAACTTTTTGCCTTTTTTTTCTTCTGGAATATTAATTCTAAATTCATTATGGTCAGTATTACCTGCTTTGTGTCAGGACTCAGGACCCTTGGGAATTAGGCGGAAAAAACCTCAAACCTTCTTAAAGCAGGCAGAACCTTGCCAGCTGTAGGGCTCTGACCCAGAGTATTCAGTATATATTATCTCTATTGCTCCCATTCTCTGTCCTAACAGCTCCCATTCCATGGTTCAGATCCAGAGGGTACTTTTCTACTGTTTGTATATTAGTGTGTTAGCATGCAGAAATGAGAGGAAGAAAAGGGAGTGCTAATGTTGTTTGGATCTAACATTTTAGAGCCTTTCTTCAAAGGCAAATACAGTCTGACATGTAGAACACCTTGTGATTTCCATTTTTTGAGAAAATAACAGCTTGCATATCAATGGCATTCTTCTTGAAATGTCTGTATTAAGAATTTTAGTGAAGACGAATTTTGGGATGGATGATTTTAAAAGGAATTAGATGCTTGTAAGTTGATATAAGAATCAGACATTTACTATTCTATTTCTTCTTTTTGAAGCATTGCTGTTGTACTTGGTTGGTTGGTATTTGTATTGGTTTTAGCAGTTTGTCTTTTTTTAAAGTCATGGGTACAATGAGGTTAAAGTTCAGAAACTGGGAAGGGAAAARTCCATTCTTGTCTTGGTAACACAAAGGTGTGGGGAAGGAGAGACCTGATTTACCTGAATTCAGCATCCTTTTGGAGGCTTTATACAGGCAATAGGTAAAAGGAGCGGTATGATTGGAAAGATACTCCTGACTGAGGGTTTCACATAAACAGGTCCCTTGAGAAGAGTTTACTTGGTAGAATTATTCACTGAGAACTCTAAATGGCTCTACTATGTGGATTTGACTAATCCTCTTGGGAGAGTTCTTGTATCCCTGCTTGGCCATGTGGGTATAGTGGGTTTGGGACAAAGTTTTTTTTGTTTTTTTTATCTCTACCAAGGTCTACTTCATTTCAGACTAATTAGCAATGCTCTGGATTTTTGAGTTTTCACTGCAATGTCTATGGTTTTGTATTCAACCTCCGAAATTATAAAGTTGCCCAAGTTTTAGAAGTACTGTGGCATTTGAGAAGTGTCCTATGGTACATTCTTATTGGAGTTAATTTCATCTTTGTTTTCCCTGTCTGCTGCATATAAAGTGTAACAGCATGGTGATGGCCTGAAAACCCAGTCCCCCCAGTCTGGCTGTTTGTGTCTCATCCAGATGTGACCTTTTTATCACATGACATGTGTGGGGTGAATGCACATAGCCTTTTTCTCTTATTGGGATGAATCACAKTTTTTCCCCCTCCCAACAGGGAGAAAAGCCCTTAACTTGTGAAAAAGTAATAGGTGAGGTGTGCATCAGGCRGATGCTGGAAATAAGTTGTGTTGTATTCTCTGAAAATATCGATACTGTTATTGGAGCCAGAATGGTGCTGGACATCTTGGATTGCTTTGCAAAATGAGACATGCTTTTGGTGTTACTGAAGGTAGAGGTCTGGCTTACTTAGGCAGCCTTTTGGTCCCTAGCTTCTACCTTCATRTGACTTCAAAATAATGTAATTAAGCTGTTGGTATATTCTTTGGTATCTACAGATTTTCCAGACTTTATTTGGGTTTCTGGGTCAAGTTTTCCTTAGGCAGGGATGGCATGTGGAAAGCAGTTTGGTAGAAAATAGCTTCAAACTGAGATTAATAAAGTTGTTTATGAGATTTGACAATGGCTGTCCTAATATCATCTGATTAAGTGATGACCTCATTATGTGCTCTAATTTAATCAACTGATTTACCTAAACATCTTTGGAGTGTAATCAAGAAGTTCTCAGGCTTTTAAATTATTTTCCTCAATTATTCTTAATATTTTAGAAAGCTAAATACTTACTTTTTGGTGAAGAACTTGTGCCTTTTTTTTCCCCTGTGTATACATATAATATATCATTATTCAAGTTTGAGGACAGCCCTATGAAGGGCCTTCCATGAGGACTGATTCTATAACTTTTTGGGGGACTGAGGTGAAGGTGGTCATTTTTCACACCCCTAGTCCACAACAAAAGTGGCARTGTGCTGTAGCTTTTCAGATGGTTTTCAAGAATACAGAATTATGATGATGGTGGTATATATTAATTCAATACTATTTGTTTAAACCTTCAGAAGCATTGTGTGTCTTATGGAGATAAAGTTTTATGAGAAAAAAAACAAGGATACCAACTTGGTTCTTTTGGAAAGATTAGCTCTGCATTTAACTAACTGAATATATTTTTAATACTTTTTTCAAATATGAAAAAGAATACCTTGTTAAGGTGAAACTGTCTACTTTGAATTATAATGAACACAAAAAATGCGAAGAATCTGTTACTTAATCTTTAGGATTTTAAACATTTATTTAATGGCTTGTCTATACCATCTGTTTTAAAATGTCTTAATACCCGACACAGGCCTCARGCCGTCAAGAAGATGAGCAAGTCGTCCTTGTCAGAACAGATGGAAGTGGAAGGGCATGGCCTGTGACAGGACCAGCAGAGCCACTGGAGCCAAAAGGAGGACGGAGAAAGCGGCAGATTGTAAGTTTTACAAATCTGAGTCTTAACTGCAATTCTTAACTGATTTCGTAGTTTTATGGTGCTGTAATTAATGAATATCTTATCAGAATGTCAATAGGTAGTTAAAAAGTTCCTTTCAGAAGATGATTGTAATTAAGTATTAGAGTAACTATTTATTAAGCATATAATTAGTTTATTTTCAGATTGCATTTCCCAAGGGATCACTTTAGGACTTACTTAAATGCACATTCAAGGAAAAGTTATCACAGTGTCTTAGCCAAGTAGTTTCTGTTACATAAAATTATGTAAATAACAAAGATTTGCAGAGCTGAGTATCTCTGAACTAAGAAAGATTTTACTGAGATATTCATGATAATAATAATTATGACCTAATCTTTGTAACAGAATGCYTTGGGGAACAATGAGAAACTTGGAAGCTGGAGCAGTGTTTATTCTTAGGATGATGGCTTGCTACAGTAAATAGAGTAGCACTTTGATCTTTTTGCGATAAGAGGAGGTGACACTACCTCTCATTTCTAGCAAGCATGTTTTTGATTAGTAGGATGGATCAGTTTGCAACACTGCTATGGGGAAGTGAAAGACCCAAGAGGATGAGGAATTTGTTGTCATCCTCCTGTTCTTTTCATTTTGGAAAACGATATCCTGCTTTATGTTAATGACCACTCCCTGTACTCCTTCAGAATTTAGTTTAGTCCTGCCCTAAGGGACATCTCTGTTCTCTTGTGCACACTGTCTAAGATGGCAASATTTCCCAGCAGAGGTACCTTATTCATACAAGTTTTCAGTACTGTCTGTGACTCCTGTGTTTCAGTAGTGTCTGGGACTTTRCAAAAGCTTTACAGCTGTCAATAATGAGAATTACTTCATAGAATATTTCATTTTTATGAGCTTATGAACTGTTTCAGTGAAGTACTATATACCTTTCCTGAGTGGTAATGTTGTAGCTCTGTTACTTTAAGAATGTGAAGGATGTAATCACTTTGGAAAGAGGCTATATTTTTATTTAGACATAATGATGCAACTGAAGAAAGGGAAAGATGTTCTTTTCGTTAGATAAAATGGAGCTGTTAGCCCAGTTGTTTTGGATAGGCTTAGCTTGACTCATCATTCTTTRAACTAGTTGAAATTGCTAGGGTCTGAATTTTAGAGCTGATCATTCTTAGGTTGATATTTATTTTTAATGTGTTTGCTTCCAGGTCCCTACTCATGTCGATAAAGAGAGAGTAAGGTATTTTCAAGATGATGATAGTATGAACCTGAAGGATTTGGTCAAAAATGAGAAGATGAGAACAGCAGAGGATCAAAACTCACTCTTCATGCGTATGGCATCAAAGGTAAGGTGTTGTGTATATGACTTTTAATCAAGCATGTTATTATTAGAAATATCAGGGAGGATGTGAGGCCTGAATAAAGAGGAGGTCTGGAGGAAGATGAGAATTGTTTATGGTTACATAATCATGCAGGACTATCAAAAATAGGGGTCATTGTAAATTGTTGAATTTCAACCTGCAAAACAGGGATTTTTCTAACAGTGTGAAACATCTGAGCTGATTCACTTTAGAGAGATGCTGGAGAGACGCACATATTTTAGTGATGTGAGTCACCTGTCCTATTGTAAATGCTGTCTGAAAGGCATTGTGGGATAAAATGAATTAGGATGTCTAGTTTAGACGCGGGAGATTATGCTATGGAACTCTCAAATAAAAAGGAAGAGATCCCATCGTAGGTATTGAGGCAATAAATTCAGATGAAAGACAGGGTTGATGAATGCAAAATGTTGGTAATCATGAAGCTGTGACTGTACATATACAAGAGGCTGTTGATGCCTGATTTGAGAGTCATTGTGAGTCTGTAAACATCGTCTCAGTGCTGGTGTGGTGAAAGGAGAAGCAGAATTTTGGGGGTTATGAAAAGGGAGAATTTAGGAACATTTTAAAGCATGTAGTGAATGCCTGGTGTGCCTCTATCTTGAATACTACCAAAGCTGGTTAAGGCGTACCCTGTAATTAGAGGCACAGAGCACTGACCATGTGAAGAAAATCTAAGTAAAGAAAATTTCTTCAGTGTAGAGGGGTGGGTGGATGGGTAGGGGAAGGCAGCTGCTAGACAGAACAATTAACATGAAAGTTTAATAGATTACAACTATTTTTGTTTCTCATATGGGAAGAAGCTACAGAACAGAATGTAACATGAAGCAGTGGTTTAGGATTTTTTTCAGTGAAGAAGGAAATTGTAGAACTTGTGTTGTAGAGCATGAAATGCTGTTGAGATCTTAATTGTGGGTGGGAGCAAAAAACGATATAGCAAGAAAAATACAGTTTCATTGTTAAATATTAAATAGGGAGATCTACATAGCTTTGGGCTCAGGATTTCCACAGTAAATCCTGAGAGCTGCAAATGTGTAGCAGAAGAGTCAGCTCTATGAGCTCTGTTTATGCTTTTCCCCATATGTTTTAGCCATTGTTGGAGATTGATTTTGCWACATTAAATGATCACACTGGATGAGAAAGCAACTGGGTTTAGTATGTTTCATTCTAAAATCTTTTTACCTTTTTTTTTTCTTTCCTTTTTCCTTGYTTTGCTTTTGTTTGTTTTTTTTTTTAGGATAGTATTTATTAATAATGTTACAATGCAATGTATTGTATTTGCTAGCCTATTCAAAGACTTTGTTTTAGTTTTGGAAGGCTCTTAATTCCTACTGACTTCAGTGAGCTTTGGATYAGAYGCTCTGTAATGTGTTACTTTTTTGTTACCAGGCAAAGACATACTACATCACATTATTTTATTAGAACAAGTTTTGAATCAATACTTAGCTCTTGACTAACGTTTTAAGATTGAGCCATACTATTTATTTGCTGGCTAAGTGCATTAGAACATTTGCTCAAAGTAGATATTTTGTCAAAGCCATTAATGTTGCAATATTCAGATTTTAATTCATGATACTTTAATCCCTCAACCCCATGCAATATCATATTTGGGTTTTGAAGGTATTTTTGTTYGGCTTTATAAAAAGAAACATTCAGATGCCAATTCTTTGTTGTTAATATCTAAAATGCTTTTGGTAGTTTCTGTACAGGTGATTCCCAGATCTTGTCACYACAAAATGTGATGGTCTTCCCCTGATGGTGATTGTTTCTTGACCTTAAATTAAGAAACTCGCTTCTAGACCTCCCTGAGGTTTCCATGTCTTTCCATGTCTGTAGAATGCATTCTTTTTCACAGCACAAGGCTGGTGTTACCACTGAAGTGTTGGCAGCAGTCTGAAAAATTCAGGTGTCATCTCAGATATTCTACATGATTATTATATACTTGATAAACTTACATTACGTGCATTATGATCTGGGGTTCAGTTAGATAGTTTTCAAAATTCTTGGATCTCTTCTCAGTGGATTCAGCGAGGCGTTTTATGTCCAGCAGGAAGTCTAGCAAACAAACCTCTTTTGCCAGTTTTAATTCGATAACATAGTACAMAAATTTGACACATTTAATTTCACAAATTACTTTCTATTTCTGCCTTCATTTGAGAAGTGGACAAATTATCCACAAAAATTAATCTGTCATATTTCAGAAGAGAGTTGGAGGAAACTGCTTCAAGTCTACAAATGACACCCTACCTAGGATGGAGCAAGGGAGATCCTGTCCCTTAAATTCTGTTCAATAATTTCATTCATCTAATCACTGTGTATTGCCTATGGCCCTATTATTTCCTTCGTGGATTTTCCCAGGGCTTTTATCACTTTCCCATACTGTGGCCAAAAGAAAATTCAAGTCACGTGGCTTTTGAGGATGGAGGAAATAGAGGCTGCTCTCACAAATGGGAACAGAATGAGAACAACAGACTAGCATGTTTTCTGGCTTTTACACAGCTGAATGCCCTGCTCTAGATCAGTGTAACTTTCCYGATATTTAGTGCTTTAATGGTATTTCAAATGAAATACTAGCTAGTTGTTATTGAAGATAGTGACATAATTGCAGTTCTGCAGAGAGAGATGGGAATGTTGAAATGGAAGGGTATAATTTGTGAAAGGATTTGTTTTCTTAAATGGGGCTTTGAAGAAATACCAGTACATAGACCCAAAATCTCTCTTCACGAAACCTCTGTCTAATCCCAGTGGCAAGTGAAACTCTATATAATATTTCCTCATGCCAGACTCCCACTCAGATTCACAGTCTAAACATCTGTATTGTTCAAGCCATATTTTACTTAATAAATCTTTTTCCCACCTGTCCTTTCTCAAGATCTCAGTGAGATCTCATGAAGGGAATTTGCCATCTCCTCGCTCTTTGTTTACCTGTTGAGTGTTTGTTCTAAATTTAGATTCTGACTTACCACTGCCCTCTTGTCCATTCTTATTTTTCCAGTCGTGGTTCTAAGGCAATCCTGCTGTGCTAGAGGCTTTTATCTGCTGTTGCTTTTTGAAGCAACACCTGTTTGAAGGTGCCTGATGTGGACSTCACTTATCTCAGCAGTTTAAAATGCTGCCTTTTCCCACAGCCATCCCATGCATGCTATTGTGTTAAATTTATCAATAYAATGAAAAAGGCCCAAATCTTTAATTTACAGTGGTGAAAAAAAAGCTTGTTTAAAACAAAAATTAAAACTCAACACTAATCTTTTTCATATATGGAAAAAAAAGCAGGCCTAGAGTTTGATTCGTTCATGTTTTGCCGTTGTGTCTATTTTTTATGTCTACACCGTTATGTCTATGTTTATGTCTACGTTATGTCTATGCTGTTTTTACTTTTTTACTTTCTTCACCTCTGAAAGTGGTTTTGGTTCTCACTGTTGCAGAAGCATGACTTTAGGTTATAAAAAAGTCAACAAAACATTTAAAAACTGTTTTTTTGTGACAGTTTTAGAGTACATAATRTATGTGAAGTCTTAGGTTTTCACTACTGATAGCTTTAAGTACCCTGTCTGTAGTTTCTTCAGCCCTTGACTGTTCTAAGTGATTCAATTTTCCCAAATTCATGCTGTTAAGACTTATGTAATCCTTTCACTTATGTCACTAGACACTTGTGGGTGTTTAGAGACTGATTCCTAGAAAATTACCTCAAGAGAAATTACCTTTTATTTGTATGTAGTAATTCTACTAAAACTTTTTTCMCTTGTTATGTTTTACTTAAAGAAAGCGAGAACAATTAATTTCTGTTGTTCATCATGACATTTTAATTTTGTCCATAAACTAACTTTATTTTAAAATATATGCAGTAATTCCTAACAGGAATTTCAGCTGTGAAAATAAAATGTTTTATTGGTAATTCTGACCTTCCTTTATGGAATTAGCCAGAGAGTACGCTGGTGTTACAGATTTGCAAAAAGGGAATTTGCATGTTGCCTGTCCTTGCTTCTCTAAAGGTCTGTAAAATGGAAAATTACTTTCAGCCTTATCATTTTTACTTGCTGTACAAATCTACCTGTTCACATTTTTGCATTTCCATCATCATAAACCAAAATAATAGTCTAGAAAAAATTTGCTTAGAAGCTCAAATGAAAAATGCAAAATGTTGCCGTTGCTGCTACTATTATGTAATGAAYGTTTTTCTTTTCTTTCTTCACATGGTGAAGGAATTTTAGCACGGTATTTAATAGGCATGATAAAGCCAGCAAAGTTCTGGAGCCCTGTTGCTTTTTACGTTTTCTTAAGGATCGTGTTCATGGTTTGCTGTAAAAAATTACTGTGAAAACCCGGGAGAAGTAATTTCCAATGCCTTGTTCCACTGCATTTCAGTTCAATGCACTAAACATCCTTCGGTGTATATTGTGTGGACACAAAGTTAAAGCTATTCCTGCATGTGGAAACAAATCAACTGCAGTGGCAGCTGGATTAGGGAAGAAAACCTAGAAACAGTAAGAACTGTGTAAATGCGGCCCATGCTAAATAACTGCATAAGCATTTAGTATTCTTCTAGAATTATGTTAAAATTACAAGTTGCAAATGAAGACTTATGCAGGACAGTTCTAGACATTAAAATTATGGTCAGGGRTAACTGTAAAGTGAAATGCTAATCATACTTTTAGTAGCAGAATTCTATGGCTGAAGGTATTTTGTTTGAYTTACATTTCATGTCATTGACTTGTATAGAAAGTTTTATCAGTCCTAATAATTAAATATAGCAAAATCTATGGTTTTCATTTGAAATAGCAGAACCAAAAAAGAGCTTTGGTCCCTAACCATTGAACCATACSCTGTCATTTGTTTTGTGGTTGACTTCTGCTGCTCAAAGGTAATCCTGAGCTACCTTGCTCACCGACATGATGAGTAATCTTTCCCTGTCAGTGACACAGGCCTTAAAAGCACTCTGCACATTGATATCTTAAAATCCTTCGATACTATGTGTTTAAAATGTTCTTTAATTCAGTGTGATGATAGGTTTTGAAAATGCATATTTGCTGAATTATATTATAAATTAAACCTGCAAATTCAGATGTCTGTGTTTATAGGGAGACTGGAATTGTAATAAGGTTYATGTGATAAAATTCTGCCTTTATTTAGCTTAAGCAAATACTATTTGAGATCAGAAAGACTTTTCTGAGGTGATTTGGTTGTTCAGAATAGATGCTAAATTCTGAATAAATTTAAATGTGAGGAGATGTATTCCTGTGACACTCAGGATTGTATTCTAAAATAATAGATTATTCTTCTTTGCAGCTTCCTAAAATATATTATGATACAACATTCCACAAATATTAACTCTGTCATTTAAAGTTGAAGACGTCAGTGTTGCCATGACAATTTAAACCCAAACTGATGCATTTTATACAATCTATAGACTTTTTCCCCACAAATTTTTCAAGCAGATGCATTTTTATTAGCTTATATGGAAGTAACTCTAGCTATGATTGCGTTAGCAAGAAAACAGGAAAGCAGAAGTTCAATAGTTGCATACAAAATGGAACAAGAAAATAAACAGAAAGGTAGCAGTACAGAAAAGCTGAAAATAACTCACACTGGAACCATGCAGGTGTCTTTTGTTCCTCTGCTAATTGTATTTCATAGAATTTCCCATTTCATCCCCAAATTTCAAAGGAAGTTTGAAGAGGGGAAAAAAGTGTACTTGAGGTATTATACTGGTACAATCCCTTATGATTAACAGTTGTGTCTCCTAAGGTTTCCTTTCAGTATTACAAACATACTAAATTCTTTAGTAGGGCTTTTTGTTCCAAAGGGCCACCCAAAAAACAAGTAATAGCAGCAGAGGGAGCAATAGGAGAGACAACGTGAAGCACACTTGAGATGGAGTGTGTAGGAAGCCAGCAGTGYATAAGACTCCAGGGGTTTTACTGTGGAATAGGAAAAATAGAATTGGTTTAAAATGAAGCTGAGATATGCTTCCAGTGKTCTGAGTGCAGGTTGGCAGAAAAATGAGGCTGACCCTGGAGTGCATCTTGCACAAATTTGTGAGATTGCTTTAGGAAGTAGCCCATGCCAGTGTGCCTGATGGCTTCACYAACATAACAAATTAAAAAGGGCATTAATTATTGTGTAAACAGAATGTTATATAATGAAATTATTCRTGTAATGGATTCATATTATTCATGGTAATTATCATGATAAGGATTTAATCAGAAAATACAACACTGTAATTTCTCCCTCTCAAATCATTCTAATTTATTCATAGTCAGATGGTTTCTTTCTAAATTCCTGTGCTGAATGGTTCGAGATCTCACCCTTTTTCTTGGGTTTTGGCCACATTTGCACTGTATTTGAGCTGTCTAAAAGAGAGCCCAGAGGGCTCCTGAGAGAAGATTGGATGCCTTCCCTGACTRCTTTTTAAATATTTGTGTATTACAGGCATTTCTTGGCCTGGGCAAGCACAGTTGTGATTCTTCTCTGTTGTTTAAACCAAAACTGCATCCTGGTTGTGGAAAAGTAGATGGATGGTAGAAATGACACAGTTGCACCATTATGCTATGAGATGTGGGAAGCCATGTCATTTTGCCTGGTACTAAGAGTCCTAAAGCTACTTTTGTGTCCTCTGGTTAATCGGTGCTTGCCAAAAGAGAGGGGAAATTTGAAAAGAGCAGGGTGTATAAGAAGGAAAMATGTGGCAGATATGCCCAGAACAAAAAAGAAAAAAGTGAAGTAGAAGAAAGAAGACTGGGGAGTGTAGGGGTGATGGATCTTATGAGCATGTTGGTTTGGCAGAGCTCTGGGCTTTGGTCACTGGTAGGAGCAGACTTCAGGTGCCTTGCCTTTACAGATACCTGAATTTCCTTTATTAGCTTTAGGTAATTCAACAATGGATTGTAGGACATCCCAACCTGAAAATGATAGATCAGAATTACTTCCTGCTTCTTTCAGATCTCTCTGCAGCATCTGAGCATCAAGGGTGATACCAAGCAATGTCAATCATGGTGAGGGAGMTAAATYCRTAACTTCCRAAATGCATTGGCTTTCATGTGTGGYGTRTGTGATGCTGCATCTGTGATGCAGAACAGCATCTTTCCAGYAKCTCTAAYACAGCAGCATAGTTCCTTCTTTGGATGTGTATTAGCTCTGTCTTTTGTATGTAAGAATAGATGTATGAAAGAAATCATATTTCAAATGATTACTTGCTTTCCTTCTGGCATTTTAGAGAACAATTTCTTCTTGTTCTTTCAATTCGTCTTTGTGAACCTTTTTTGAGTGATTTAGTTATAGCCAAATAATGTGATTGGCTGAACACATTGGGCACCTTACTGTACAAATAGGAATAGAAATATCTTAAAAGAGGGCTGGAGCACCTCTCCTAAGAGGCTGTGAGAGCTGTTCAGCCTGGAGAAGAGAAGGCTCCAGGGAAACCTTGTAGCACTTTCCAGTACTTAAACGGGGATTAGAAAAGAGAGGGAGAGGAATTTTTCACTCAGGTAGATAAAACAAAGGGTAATGGCCCCAAACAGAAAGAGGGTACATTTAGTGTAGTTATTTGGAAGAARGTCCTTACTTTGAAGGAAATCAGGCATTGGAACAGCTTGCCCAGAAAAGTTGTGGGTGTCCCATCCCTGKAGTGTTCAAGACCAGGTTGGATGGGACCATGAGCAGCTTGGCTTAGTGGAATATAAAGTCTCTTTCAAACTAGACCATTTGGTGGTTCTATGATCTATTGGTCATGACTGTACCAGAAGAAACAAAATCCAGATTTTAGACAGCATCTACTTTATAGAAGTTTGCTCCTTTGGATGTAAAAGTTTGCACCTTTGTATGTAAAAGTTTGCTTTGGGACCCAGACGTTATATTGTATACAGCAGTTTATCCATGATGAAGAGAGGCATCATCCTGGCTGTTTAATAAGATGAATATTTATTTATTTATGTATGTATGTATTTATTTATCACAAGGGACTCTGTGAATTTTGAAAAGTACTGTTATTTAAAAGGGATTGTATGTATCAAACCAGGACTACTTCCAAGTGTAAGCAGAGCAAAATAGTATTGATGTTCTGTGCTACATATGATACTCRTGACAGCCAAAGTGTTGTGATTTTAATTCTTTTCTCTAGTTGTCAGGTKTCATGTCTTGTGTGTATTTCCATTCTCATGGCAGAATTTTTCATTTAAAAAACCCAACCAAACTATGTTTGGTAATAACAAAATGGTGCTGTTCTGTAAGCAGTGTTTGCTGCAGGTCTAATTTTACCTTTTTAATGCTTACATGACAGAAGAACAGAGACTTGATTTTTGACACCCAACCCACTTAATATTTTTTCTAAATCTCAGGAATCTCCTGTTTCTGTTAAATATAGAATTACARTATTACAGTAAGACAGAAGAAGAATGGAGTTGAACTCTTGAACTGTTGATTTTAGTCTGCAGTGCCTTCCAGYAGGAAATGCGCATCAGCAGTTAAGTGTATTATAGCTGAATAAAGTAATGTTAAGGAGGCTTCTTCTCAGTTGTTTGGTAATGAAAGTACTGAGCATATTTAAAATAAGCCATTGATCTGTGTTAGAGAACTGCAGTATTTTGGGAAAGCAAGAGATACTGTCTTTTTTTGGGGAAGTTACTTATGTACTTTCAAAAAAAAAATCTGTTCTCTTTTTTTTTTTTTTTTTTTTTTTTAATATCAGATTATCCATACAAACTATGCCTGGGATATTTGAAATAATTTCTTTAATTTGGAGACTGTGATTCAATTATGATAGCATGCCTTCCAGATGCCTTCAGTTAGCATTAGTACTTTGCTAGGGCTACCCTAGTCAGTATTCTAAAATATATTAGGATTTGTTCTGGAGTGCAACATGTACACTCAGAARGAGTTGATATTGAAGGCAAAGACTGTTTTCTTCACAAAATGAATTAGTCCTGTTCACTTGGTAAGAATAACTGTTGGCATATTTTCACAGAATGTGAATGTGGAATGCAGTCTAATTATTTCATTATGATTTAATGGTAGTTGTAATAGGAGAGGAGGAGGAGAAGGGAGAGGACAAAATATATGATAATAAATGATATATTAAATTGTGCACCTATTTCAAGATAGCTGGAGTTATGTCAAGATAGTAYTGAAATACCAAGCCCTTAATTTGAAATGGGATATGGTAATCTACTCTTCTTACTGCTGTCACATATTTTAATATCTATACTAAGATTGTGTATGACTGCTCTCAGGAGGGATACCTGAGGATTTCATCTGCAGCAGATGCCGCATGAAAGGAAGAAATGCTACTGCTTATGTACTTTATGCTTTTCAAAATGAAGKATACTAGGAAGAGCTAAGTATTTTTTCTTGCTACTTTGTAAATACATACAATTTTTCTGTGTATCTTTTCAGCTCATGGAAAAAACTGACAGAGATTACTACACTCTGGATGACATGTTTGTTTCCAAAGCAGCCAAGAGAGCGCGCAGTGGGGAAGAGGAAGAAGTACAAAGAAGAAAAGCAATCCGWGAGCACCAGCAACTTGCTGCATGCATGGAAAAGTGCCCCTACTGCTTTGATAGYAGTGAACTTTCTAAACATCTTATTATTGCAATTGGCACCAAGGTAAGAAAATAGCAATTTAACACAAATGTAGAAATAAAAAAGAAATTACGTTGGAGTGCTTAAAATTAGGTACAAACTTGCTTCTATGGAAGGATGTATTGTTCTGCATCTTATTTTTCTTGTGCTTTCAGTTGATTCCACAAATTCATCAAGGGTGAGGAAGAAACAGATATAAATCTGTAATGAATTTTAAAGCTATTCTTTGATGTCAGGACTTCCCATTTGTGGAAAAACAGGAGTAATAATGAAAGATTTCAGTGCAGAGATTAAATTGTTGGTGGATTTGTGGAAGACTAATCACACTTCACTGGAGGAAATTTGAACTGGTGAAGAACTGTATCTTGGTATTAAAGAAAATTAGGTGGAGAATTCCATTTTTTAAACTTAAAATCCTTTGAAATAGACAGAAGTTTGGTTTGGAAACATTCCTGGTTCTGTTAATGCTTTTAGAAGTTGCATAAATATTTGGTTTTTCAACATCTGAAATGCTCCAATATAGCCTGTTTTGTCATTTTTTTCCCCTAAAGTTTTAATTTATTATTGATGTTTTCATTTGATCTGAAACTCTTTACAGGCAAAGGAATTAGATGCATAGATATGTATTAAAGTACATTGCATTCCTTTTTTTTAGAGATTTTATATAWAAATTCATACAGATGTGTATCTGTCTGTCTGTATGTGTATATAATCTGTGTTTATATATCTAGGTAGATAAATATGCAGTGTCCTGGTTTTGTCTGGGATAGTTATTTTTCTTCCCAGTAGCTGGTACAGTGCTGTGTTTTGGATTTAGGGTGAGTTTAATGTCAATAAGACACTGATGTTTTTAGTTGTTGGTATGTAGTGCTCAGGGACTCTTCTGCTTCTCATACTGCCCCACCAGTGAGAAGGCAGGAGGGGCACGAGAAGCTGAGAGGGGACACAGCCAGGACAGCTGACCCTAACTGATCAAAGGGTTATTTCAAACCATATGACATCATGCTTAGTGGATAAATTCGAGAGAGAGTTGGCCAGGGACCAGCACTTGGCAAGTAGCTGGGTGGTGAGCAGTTGCATTATGCATCACTTGTTTTGGATGATGTTGTTGTTATCATCATCATCATCATTTAATTTCCTGTCCTTTTAAACTATCTTAACCCACAATTTTTTTTTTCTGATTTTCTCCCCCTGTCCCACTGGAGGCAGCGAGTGAGTGAGCAGCTGTGTGAGGTCCAGCTACTGGCCAGGTTAAACCATGACAAAAAATATGCATTTAGCATATATATATATATATATATAAGTATAAAATTAAAAATGCATACAGCAATGTATTTACATTAAAAAATATTAGAATGGACTAAAGAGTGTGATTTCATAATAGCTATTATACCAGATGGTTTATAAGGCTGATATTACTCCCTTGTTGGTGGAACTGCTCTCTGGATACACTAGTTCATTTGAGCTACTGGTGGATAATGGGCCCTTTTAAAAAGCACTAAAATTGCTGATACCTTGCTGTAATTGGTARGTAATGGCTTCTATTAGTTTGAATTTAGGAAATGATGAATTTCTCAGTAATGGGAAGGTTTTTAATGCTTGAAAACTTGGTGTTTGAGTTTTTGTTTGCTTTTCCTAGGTGTACTTGTCTCTACCCAGCAACCAGTCCCTTACTGAAGGTCACTGCCTGATAGCCCCTCTTCAGCACCATACTGCAGCCACCCTTTTGGATGAAGATATCTGGGAAGAAATCCAGGTCTGCTGAGAAACTGTCTCCTATTCTAACAGTTTCATAAAATAATTTTGTTGTGCATAGTAACATGCTTATCATAAGTACGTATTTTCATAATTTGCAGTCTGGCAGCTCTGTTCTGGTTCCACTAAGGGGCAGAATGTTCTCCCATTGTGTATGAAAATTAATAGTCAAATATTACAGAAAGGGGAGGCAGGGTAAATGCTGAAGAAAATTTCCAACCCCTAAGCACTGGAAAGTTTCCTGAAATGCTGCAGAACATGCATCCTTGGAGATCTTTGAAACTATGTTTGAGAAACATCTATTGGAGATGAAATAGGCACACTTGATCCCTTACAGAAAGTCAAGTAACTGGCTTCATGGGGTTTTCTTGGGAGTGCCAAGGAAAAGAAAAGGTTTGTCAGAGCAGGCAGATCACTTAAAATTCAATACAAGCTGAAGATGTTGTTTATATATCTTACATTTTTTAAAATAGTCTGGGTTTCGGGTGGATGCCAATTAATAGACAACTGTGTTACTCTTAAAATCAATGACATCCCTGTTAGAATCCTGTTTTCTCCCTTTTTTGAAAAGWACTATTAGAATAAAGTGCCAAGCATGATGGACTGTGCTTTCCAACTCTCTTATGAAGACATTTTGAAGATTTTGAGTACTGTTTTCTTTGGAGATGGAAAATCAAGGGAGGGATGCCATCAGGATTATTACAAGGGGAAAACAATTTGCACCCTCTTATACTGAAATACTGGAGACTATATCAGACTAGAGAAAGGTTTCATTGTTGTACTTGCTGAGATTCAAAACCAGCATAATTCATAAGCTTGAAATAGTTTAAATGATGTTGGTCTTGCCTCAAGTCTGGCAGATGGATTCTCTGACCTTTCAAATTTGCTCCCCACATTGATTGTCATGGCTGATGTTGTTTTTATACAATGTTTCATGGTAAGTTATGTTCCCTCCCAACCAGAGAGGAAAAGGACTTCTTTTGCATGTGACAGAAATACCTAAGAAAGTTGAATAAAAAGCAAATGAGTAGGAACAGGAGGAACAAAAGAGCATGTGGGAAAATGATAAATATGTTTATCCTCAATCTTCTGTTTATCCTCATGTCTTAACTGAACAATTACAATTTTTCTAAATTGTATGAGAAGGAGAATGGGATAAAGAAAAGATAAGCAAATGCAGTCCCTGTATTCAACACTAGTCTCTTACTTGTTAGAAAAGGCTACTAGCTATTAAAACATTATCCTTTGATCCTGTGAATATATGCATAGACAGCTTAGACATTTCTTTGCAGCAAAGTATTTTGGAAAGTGATGGATATRTGAAATTTTTTTCCCTGAATTCTATGAAGTACTGCAGAGGGAGTCTGGAAGGCTTTAGCAAATGTATAAATCAGTGGCTAAACTAGCTTTCTGATGCAAAAGGCATATTTTGTATTACTGTTGGAGGGAAAAAAATTAGCTTACTTTTAAATATTCACAAAACATTATATGAAGTATATGTTTTAGTTAACTATTTTTGCTAAGTTGTTTTTTAGGATATGTTGGAGTAAAGCAAGAAGGGTTCCTTTATACTTGTATGTCTTCAAGCACTTGAATTTAACATATTGTGTAGTTTAGATTGATGTGCTCACTTGCCTAAGTAATTATGTAGGSAATATTTTTAATACGAAAATATATAAATCTTTTCACATTCTGTGTTGGCTGAACTGCAGCATATATTAATGTTGTATACATCCAAGCATAAGCCTTCTGATTTGCTCTTATGGATGGTTTTCTCCTTCCCAGTGCTAATTATTCTTGATGCTTTGGCCTGCTCAGAAATTGGAGGAAAAGTGCAGCGTGTTTAAAAACAAGAAAGTGCATCTGGGGAAATGTTAGCTAACATCTGCTGATATTCTAGGCTTTGTGGTGGATTTGTATTTCAGTTGATATTGCAGGGTAGCAGCTGTAAGGGATAGTCTTTCTCAACCTTTGGTATCTCACCACATTGCTAACTTCAGTGTGTTTCAGAGGTAGAAGTCTAGGGGCTGGAGTGACAAGGAGAAGACAAAAAGCTGTTAATTCAGAGTAGCCTGTCACTCTGCACTGTAAAGTCCCATAGCAGTCATGGAGCACTGGGCAGTATCTTCTGGCTGTAATTTGTCAGTTGTTTCAGGAGAATGTTGGTAGCATTTTCCTGTCACAGCACGGAGCATCTCATKAGTGAGGAAAACTTCAGAGCACAAGGGCCTGCTTTGAAGAGCTTAAATGCCTAGTTTAGGTATATATTTGGCCATGTTTCTTAGACTTATAGTTTGATTTGTACTATACAAGATGGCAAAGGCATGGAGATATCAATTTCTAGTCCTATTGCATTTGAAAACCTGGTAGTGATTTWTTTTCCTTCTGTTTTACTTCAGTACTTGCTGATGTTGATGAATATGTGTATTTATGCTTGTTTGATTCWTAAGTTCTCCACTTACATTAAGACAAGGAGTTTTAAAAGTTATTAAAACTTAGTTATTAAAACTTAGTTTGTAGTGTTAATTATATTGTGTATTTTGCAACAGTTTTCTAGACACCCAATGTTTTTATCATAGGAAATGTRGTTAATATTAAATTGGTAAATAATACAGAATTTTCCTAGTATGATTGCTACTGTTTTCCATTTTACTGTTAGTTTATTACAAATACAATATGCTTGTGAAATAATACAGTGTATCTGAAAGCTTTGAAAAGTTAGTTTAAATGACACATTATTTTTCTTTAAACAGATGTTCCGAAATGCATTGGTGAAAATGTTTGAAGCCAAAGACTTGGACTGTGTGTTCCTAGAAACAAACATGAGTATGAARAAGCGGTACCATATGGTATATGAATGCATTCCTCTTCCAAAAGAAGTAGGAGATATGGCTCCAATCTACTTTAAGGTACATTAAAATGTTTTTTTCTGAAGCAGTTTGAATGTATATATCATAATTCATCTGTTTCTGGAAGACATTGGTGATACTCAAGTGCTCTTTTTGAAAAGGTGTATTCTTTGATCCTTCTTCTGGATCCATTCTTTGCTAATATTCCTTGATCTGAAAATAAACCCTGTGAGGTAATTCAGTTTTTCAAGTAGTCAGTGGAAGAGCTGTATTTCACTGAGCATTTGTTCCAAGTCTGACTGCACCAACAAATTCTGGAAGAAGGTGAGAGAAGTGTAGTCTCTTGAAGTGTTTAAGGATTGCAATACCTCYTACTTAAGTTCTGTAGTATAAACTTAAAACACAATACTTGTGCCTTGGCAAGCATTAGATGAGAAAATAATGTTACCTGTTCTGAGAAATACCAATGTAGGTACTCTTCATCCCCATTTTATTTAAGTAAGACCAAATTTTACACATATCTTAGGCTTCTGGAAGAAGTATCTATCATGCTGTAGAATGTTTATCATAGCTTTTCAGGTCTTTTTCCCCTGATCCTGTAAGAATAGGTTCATTGGGGCTTTTGCCTGGGAACTGAGTCTTTTCAGYTTTCAGGAACTTGATTCATGATTTGCCTTTGGAAACAAAATTATTCTATTTTTTCTTTGAAATACTATTTATTCTTTCTGGAAATAATGTGATTGGGCTTTGATGAAGCTGAGCAGCAGTGTGGTGAACAACTTTTGCCAGTTGTGCAGTAACTTTTGCTGCATTTGAAACTCTCCATCTGTTAGATCTGACTGCAGGGCTTCAGGTGCTGGTAAAACTTGGGCGTTTTTTGAGTATTTGAGAAAGGGGGAAGGACAAGATTTAATTTATGTCATTTATTTTGTAAGTATCTACCATTAAAATAGACAATAAATGAAATTTAGAAGTTGCTTACACTATGCTATACCAAATTTCATACTGTGGAAGATACAGTCAACTTTATAGGTTTTTAAAGGCAATCATCCTTCTAACCTGGATTCATCTCTTACTGTTTATAAAAGAAATACAGCTAATATAATGTAATGATTTCATAAGGGGTTTTGTATGGGATAAGTAAAAAGAGAATGTGAGCTTTTATTTGAAAGTTGTGTCAAGCAATAGTTAAATTAAAAAGAAACTGARGAACTGAATTGGGTGAGTCTGAAGATACTGCATGATGTCTCTATAAACTAAGTTGTGTAAATAAGAAAGGTTGCCAAAAATAAACTGACTTTGTTAAAACTAATTGTTATTTGCAGTACAAYGTACTTCATTACAGTTAGTTCTTTATTTGCTGTATAAGGGCTATTTTCACATTTAGWTAATAACATTTTACAGAAAGCTATAATGGAGTCTGATGAAGAGTGGTCCATGAACAAGAAGTTAATTGATCTTTCTTCAAAAGATATTCGGAAATCTGTAAGTAGTGGATTGTATTGAATCCTGAATTTATCATCAAATTCTTCTAACCTTTTTTCATTATTAAATGTTTCAAAGAGAGAAGAAAGGAAACAGAATTAGATTAGTGCATTAGAAGATGGCATAGGTATGATGAGAATTAACAGTCTGAACTCCTAACTGACATTAGGGAAATAATTCCCATTTATTTCAACAATTGCTGGACTAAGCTGCCAGCATTAGTTGAGAGAAGCTGACACTTTAAGGACGTGTACTGGCAAAATTTTCTTGATTAACTTTAAGAATTAAGGCAGATCAAAGATTTGCAAATTACTTTCCTGGAACAAATATGATGTGTCTTTTTCATTAACCTTGAACAGCCATTTGTGTTGCTAAGTTTATGAAGTGAAAATATAAATAGCATTATAAATCTTGTTTTTTGTAAAACAAGGGAACAGTACCCTCTCTGTCTCTTGGATACTGAGATGAAACATCTTTATATAAATAAATCTTAAAAGAATAGTGCTGCATCCATTAGGTTCAAAGATTGTTCCATCTTTTTAATATTAAAGTGGAAGATGTGTATTATATGCACTCTATGACAAGTAGTTTTCTACTGTGTAGTAGTGTACGTAATTTCTGGAAGTTTTTTAGTAAACAGAGCACTAAAAAATTCCTAGTTTATGAGAAAGAGGAGATGAATTTTCATAAWGAGACATGAAGTCTGATATGATGAAGAAGGAGATTAAGTGCAGAAAATTAAGGTATTCAAATAATTTGCAGCTAGGGTTTAGGGAATACTTTAAGGTGGATATAAACAAAATAYGCTTATTTGGGTATCTTCTACTCATTTCAGAACAGGGAAAACCAACATCTATCACAAAAAAGTGAAATATCATTTCATTGTCACATGATAAAGCATTAGGACATGCCCTAGCCATACATTTTTGTGACTTACTTATTTATTTGAAAGTGGACCAGTTTTCAGATTAAGTCAAGACAGCTTTTAAAATTAATACAACGTATTCTGAACATGAATGGTTACACTGTTGTGTAATTTTAACATTATTGTAGGGTAAAAGAAATGTCTGTAGGCTTCAGGGAGATCAGAGAGTATAGCTTGGAGACCAAGCTGAGGTTTGGGAACTTGGAGAGTTGTATTGGGAGATGGTGGTAATCTGGAAGGAAGGTCAGGCTTGGCTGAGACATCACCTAGTGGGTGGATTGTGTGCAGAAATMGTGAGAAATAAGACACAGTTGACCTTTTCTTTAAGGTGTCACCTGCCCAGCCATTTTCCTAATTTAATAATTTTTTTTAAGTCCTTTTAAAATGTTTTATGTTTCTTGTTATGCTGCATTGCTCCTCTGTATTACACCTTAATTATTTTTAGAGTCAGTATTTTAAGCAATATATGGAACACGCYTCCTGAAAATTGTGTAGTTATTTGGACTGTAGCAGAGGAAATGYTTATGAATTGGAGGCTTTGTAAATCTTATCCATAGAGATACATCCTCAACAATTAACAGRATGAAAATGATGCAGTGAAACAACAGAAAGTGCTTGCAGTACTGTAGCAATATATGATCGACTTCTGTCAGACTAAAGGGTTTTTTGTGGCAGGATATTCAGCATCTCCCCTGCAGGCTGACAGAATTATTAAGTTATCTGATTTGGCAAGTTAAGAATAACTTTCATTCATGTGGAGGGGGTTTGTGGTAATGTCCACAGARGTGCTTCCCCTTCCCCCTGAGCAGTAGTGTTTTCACTGGGTAAATATTTCCTGTTCCCAGTCAATATCTTAMCTTTAATAAATGCAGTTTGCTAGTGGTTGTCTTAAAATTTCTACTAAAACCATGTAATCCAGAGGTGTGGGGACAGGGAGGCATTTGCTCAGTGTGCACACTGCTGCCTGATATCTCTATTTCTTACCTGCTATTTCTGCTGTGGCCTCTGGAGGTTCTGCCACCCAGTCATCATCCCTTCTGTGCCTTTTTATCCATTTGCTGTGTGTTGTTCTTTCCCCGTACCTGTTTGCTTCACTGTTTCTTTGTTACAATTTTATGCTACAYGTAGTTGGTTTGAGAGGTAGTTTAAAATAAAAAATGATACTATCAACTGTAAAACCATGTTCAAATTCATTCACTTGTGGGGGAGGCTGACTAACTGACCRGTGTTTGTTAAATGTCTGAAAATGTGGTTTTTTATGTGTAGGTTCCCAAAGGATTGCCATACTTCTCTGTGGACTTTGGCCTTCAAGGAGGATTTGCTCATGTGATTGAAGATCAACACAATTTCCCTCATTACTTTGGAAAGGTATTGCTATGTAAAAGATTAATTTACTAATTATACTCTCTTTTGGAAAATTTAAGTAATTAAAACACATGCTTCCAGAACATACTTTGATGTACCCTRTCTCAGTTTGTTGTCTGTCTTTTCTTGATGAGTCATTGTAACTTGGCTTGTTGAATAAAGGAGTAGTTGATTTTTTCACTAGCTGAAAAATTGTGAGATTTTGATTCTAAATTCGTGTCTCTTTTCAATTAATAGGAACTGTAGGTATTTGACATTATAGGTATATAATCACATAGACGGAAGATACTTGCATCTACTTAAGAATTTTCAYGGCCATAGTACTGATATACAGGTACACTGACACCTGTTTGTATAAATTAGTGTGCATGCACATAGAGACTCACAGACAGCTCCTGCTGAAATCCTCATCTGGTTAAATTACTCCTCGTGATACGTATACTATATACAGGAAGAGCTGCAATGAATTCTTCCTTTCTTTATTAKGTCAGAGTAAACACTTTTTGAAAGAATCAATGTTGCAAAAACATGAAGAGAGGGAAATACAACAGCAGGAAGAACAAAGTGGGCAGCTTGCTTGCTTTCTCTGAGTTTACCTTAGTCACAAATGCACTAATGCATTAATAGTCTTTCAATGTTAGGATATTTAGGCACTACATCAAAGCACGTAGAAGAATTCTGCTGAGGCAACCATCTATGGCAGTTTTTTAATTATCACTTGAAGAAAAACTTGGAAGAAAACTGACAATCTCAAAATTTGAAAATACATATTTCTTCTGTGATTAGATAGTGTTAAGTAATAGGATAATTTTGCATTTATCATTATCTATCTTTTGTTTCAAAGGAAATTATTGGTGGCATGCTGGACTTGGAACCGCGGCTCTGGAGAAAAGGAGTCAGACAGAACTTTGAGGAACAGCGGAAAAAGGTGCTGCAGTTTGCACAGTGGTGGAAACCATATGACTTCACCAAAAAGAAAGAATGAGAAACAACCCTGGAGCCAAGGACTATATAAGCCATAAATCACACTAAAGGATACTTCATATGTAAAGAATAACACCAATGTGTTGGTAGTATATTTTAAAAATAGGATATTCTTTAATTGTTSATGATGTGTTTCTCTTTTGGACACTGGATCACATGTACCTGCAGCCTGAAAAAACAGATTTGTACAGTAAGTTTGGATTTTACTTTTTCAGTTGAGCCAGAAGGATAATGTCCATGTGGCCATTTGAGTTTTTAAAAATGTGACTTTTGCTTTTRGAGTTTTTATAATTCTTGAGACAACTGGTATTTTTTTATATTGTATTTAGCCAGTGCTTAATTATCATGGTAAACTTTTGTAGAAAATGGTGTACATTTTAAGAACATTTTGATTAAAACAAATACATTACTGCAGAAGGAAATTGTACAGAAAATAGTTTTCTTATTTTGTGTCCTTGTGTTCTTTGAGGTCTTTGCAGTAACACAAACATTCATGAAGGGTGTGATTGATAAACCTGCTGTTGCCCCTCTGCACAAGAATTAATGCTATTTTTTGTACTTTCTCTCAATATGMAGTAATATTTTTCAAGCACAAAGGATGATGAGAGAGTCCATAGCTGGTGGCAAATGACAGCTTTAATAGTAACAGTTACATTTGATAGCAGTAAAAGAAGAATTTCAAGGGAGAATACTCTCTGATGGTCAGCAAAAAAGAAAATCTTCACTGGGATCTCCCCAGGTGACTCTTCTCCCCTGGGTATGCCCTCTAGTGCCACAGGTGGTTTGTCATAATACTTTGTCCTAATAGTTTTCATCAAGACCRGTTCAAAATCCATGCTTGTTTTTCCTGATTGTGATGCTGCTAGTGCTGAGTGAAGCATGCTCTGACCAGCAGCAAGAGTTGTGTGTTAATTGATTGAGCATGGATGTCACTGGGGAATGCATGCATGCTATTTCAAGGACCATTTTCCACCGTTTTATTTGCTAGATTTTTTTTTTTTGTGTAGAAGTTACAAAATGAGGGTAGGGAGRTGTGAGGTGGAGAAAGGATGATTCTTACATCAGTGCCCGCCAGTTCCTGTGGAAACCCTGGCAGAGCAGGCTTGGGCTTTGCAGATAMAGATTTGGGATAACAAGGAGAACAGGAGACAAGGACAGAAGGACATGGATAGAAACGTTGCTGCAGCACAAGGGAGAGGGTGCAGACTTGGGAACAGAGGCTCCAGTGCTACAGGGAAAGTACAAACGGTGGAAGGTGGGAGACCCTTGGTATTGGAGAATTTGAGGCTTTGTTTAAGTGTTTCAACGTGCTTCCTGTTCTTTTCCTGCTGAGCTATTGCTCTGTACAGCTCTGTCAWCTAATGTGAACTGCTCAGATTAAGAAATGGATCACTAAATTTTGCAGGGTTGAATAAGTATTCATTTCTAGTCACTTAGTGGTGTTTTGCAGCTTTGCTGAAAATCTGGTGTTTTCCCATTCCTCCCCCATTGCTGCATTTTGGCAAATAAGTCTGGTAGAGATAGATCTGTTGTGTTKTGAATTATTTTCTATAGGATCTTTGTCAGTTGATGTCACTACAAAAGAAATGAGTAAAAAGTAAGCTTTGAGGATAATTGAAGCAATTTCATGTCTGATTTATACTGTGTTCACCAGCAAGCCTTGGATAAAAGGGACAGTTCTAATGTTCTCCAGTAAGTTTTGCTCTTCCTTAGGTTACTGGGAGGATTGCTTGGCAAATAGGATGTGAAATAGTAGCTGTGAGTAGCCGCTTGGAACGTGGCAATGCTGAACCAAATTTAGGTAAAATGCAGTCTTTAGTGTGTAAAGCATKACTAAAAATTGTTCTCTGTGAAAGTACATATAGCCTCTAGTCTCATCTGCCCCCTGGGATGATAGCTGGAAGCAGCAGAGGTGACTGTCTTTTCAAGCCATGGAAAAGTCYTTATCCAATGCTGTGCTGGAAATGCAATTCTTCTGACATCACTTCTCTCAGAATCTGTGTACCTCAAAGGAAGTGCTGTGTTTCACAAGGGATATCCAACTTATATGCAGAAAAATCCTCTGACTCATGGCCTGTGCATATTTTATTTTTCTGGTTTCAGCAAAACTACTGGTATTCTTTGGAAAGAACTTTGAAATATGGGATAAGGGGTGGAATGTCTTGGGTTGATGTTTGGTGCCAGTTTTGTTCTGTATTCCTTTTCCGTTGGCACATATGCCCAAAAATGTTTATCTCTTTAAATGCAACCCGGAAGAAAGAAGCAGGGGCTGCTGGGAAGACACAGAGGACAGTTTAACTGCCAGTGCTGCCACGAGATCTGGCTGCTCGAGCTGCTCTCTCTGGCTCTCTCTGCCTCTCGTCGTGGGAGCCCTCGCTTGCGGAGCAGAGTTACAGTATCACAGTTTCTGCTGGCTCAGTTTGTGGCTTCGGCGGCTTTTCCTCAAACATCCCCTCTGCGTCTCCTGCTACTCCTCGGGCGGTCCTGCCGAGGGAGGGGCCTCACGGCTCCATCCCGTCTGGGATTTCGGGGTGGACCGGGCTGGCAGCGGAGGCACGCCGAGCCCTCCTCTGATTCATCCACTGGGAAGCTGAGACTGTGGTACCATTCTTTTCTTTCGGTTGTTTTTTCCCTTTTGCCACTGTTACAATAACCACCACGTGGGTTTTCCTTTTGTTTCTTTTTTCCCGGGGGCGGAGTCACTGCCTTGCTGCCTGGCGAGTTTTTTTGTTTGAATATCAGAAGGTTACTTTTTATCTGTATCCTTGCTATATAACGACTACTCTTTGTCTGTGTCCTGTGGGCATTGTTTTGTTGGTTTTTTTTTTGTTAATAAAACTACCTTTTTTCTCTTCACCTTTTTTKCCCAGCATCTATTTCTTGTTGGAGGGAAAAAAAATTATCAAATTTGTTTTCATTTCGGAGGAAACGTTTCCCTGTGACGTTTTCTCTCGGAAAACATTGTCTCAAAACCAAGACAGTWAGTCAAGCTAGGGATACAGGAAAATGTTTCTTACCCTGTTAGAAGTTTTTGGAATGGGAGACTGTGTTTACCATATACACTGAGAATAGTATCTTGTAATTGGTCACAGCCCACAGATTCATATGGTCAGGTTAAGATGTTCTTCTTCCTWAGTATCTCTAAATATTCATGAAGCCATGACTGTCAACTCAGCTTGTTAGGATACTTGTGGTAGGCATGGTATGCTTAGACTTCAGTCCTTACTCTTATAMATACTAAAATATTTTAAGTAGACCTATTTCATCTTCAAAAATACCCAGWAACTAAGTTCTTTGGCACTAAGAGGTAGAAAATGTGAATTCAGGTGTCTATATGGGGAACAGGGATTGGAAGCTTGATTTCTTACGTTGTTATGTGTTTCTATGTACTCTTTTTGTGTGATCAGAGAGGAAAAGGATCTTCTTTCTTCAAGTGAATCTACTTGTATGATTTAACAGGTATGAGATTATATCAATGTCCTGCCCTRTGTTATGGGAAGGTCATGTAATATGTGCTGCTGCTCTTCTACACAGTGCCTGGCATGAAATGCAATGTTTCCTTGGTATCAAGTCAACTGTTTCCAACTATAAGGACTCCTCTCCTTTGTATTTCCTTGCTATGCTGAAGGAATTTTTTTCTCTCACCTTCATTCCAGGTCTCTCAGCAGACTCATCTCCCACAAGCCTTAATATCTTGAAGACTCACTTGAAAAGCCTGGTCTGTCTTAGAGTAAAAGAGCTAAACAATGAGATGTTCACTTTCTGTTCTTTTCTTTAGGCTGTTTCATTCAATCTGGGTAGTCCCCAGGCCTATGTGGTTGTTGCAGAGAAGCTGCTTAAAGCATGGATCTTCATATAAAAGACCCACATTTGGAGGTTATTATTTTTGCTCAAATTTGTACCACATCATTAGCTACAAAATGAAGTGCAAAATTATTCTTATCCACAACCAATAGTTGGTTGATGTCAAGGTGATTGCCTGAAGTAATTTGTTGATGTAAACTGAATTAATGAAAAATGAGGCTGATGTAAACTGGGATGAACTCATGGAGCTAAAGTGGAAAGAAAGACTTTCTCCCAATTATTAATGTTCTCCTGAGCAGGTAATTTTTATTTATGCCCATATTCTACACAGCTTTTCACTTCTCCTTTTGTGGTTTCTTTATAATAAAACTAGGAGATGCTGCATTTACTGCAACCTTAGTGTAACAGTGGTGGATTGTTGCTTGGTGCTTTGTAAAAGACCTGAAAGAGAATGATGTGGATTTTTGTTGCTTTGCTAGAAAAGCAACATTCAATCTGAGGTTTGTTTGGCTGAATTGTTTTTTCCAGTTCATTCATGAATCCAAACAATGAGTTATTCTCAGAGTCATAATCAAATGTGATTTAGTGGGATTTTACTTACCGAGTTCAACCAACTTGTTTTAAATTTCATACAAGTTCTGAAAGGAAAACAATGTGTTAAAATCAATAGTAATTCTCATGACAGTTCGCCAATCTCTTGAAATCTTATGAAAGAAGAAGAATTTTGCTGGGTCCCCTGAGAGTTCTTTGGCTGAAATTTCTTCAGCATTTCCTGTTTTCTGTATTTGTCATTTTATCATTAAAGTATGTTTATATAATTCTGACTGGACTATGGATGAAAAGCTATGGAAACATAGGCTGCTCCATTCTTGCTTTAAGTGTAGCTGTTTTGTAAACAAAACCTTGAATATCCTMGATAAACTAGGACTAGATATTAGAGTACAAAACATCTTTACCTACAAGCCTGTTTACCCTCCGTGGCTCCTGGGTGTGACCTAAGGGCTGAACACAGAGGCACATCTYGCACATTGCTTACGTTAGAGAAGGCAGAGTCCGAGCTCTTGATGTGTGGGTATTTGTAAAAAGTTCATTCCTCAGTGTTCATGCTGCATGTGCCTTTGTACASGTGCTCTGAGGGCAGCGGGCAGCCTGAAACTGCTGATGAGCCAACTTTAAGTTTTGTATCAGAACTAAAAAGACATCAAKTCATTATTTTAAAATTTTTAGCTTTTGTGAAGCAAGTAC